GTCAGCAGGACACAGTCAGGACACAGTCAGGACACAGTCAGGACACAGTCAGGACACAGTCAGGACACAGTCAGGACACAGTCAGGACACAGTCAAGACATAGTACAGGTCTTTTGGAGTAACTGGGTCAAATTCTTGATCAGTCATTATCGTTGGTGTGGTCCACATGGTGGAAGTGATTTTCTCCTCCGTTCCTCTGTCACATCGTTATTATCCCCGACTCCTGGTAATTATGATAAAAAATGACAGCTTTTCTCAGCTGATCTGGGCTGATGAGGTCCGCAGCCCCTGAGTAGCCTTAGGTTTAGCTTTCGTGCACTGTAACAGGATTCACTTTATATGTTGGTGACATCTGTGTGTCGTTTGTCAGGTAGAACAGCTTTGTTTAAGGGTCTAAAGTCTGTAGAGTCACTATTCCAGCTCATTAAACCGTTGTGGTTTGATAGGAAACACGAGAACCAGGGTGTTCAAAATGAATGTCTTGCCGAACCAAATTCAAGTTCGGTTCAAGATCCTCACATCCAATTTGGATTCAAAGGATGTAATGCATTTTAAAATAAAAGAAAATGGGGGGAAAAAAATAATGTTTTACTATTTTTACAGGTATAAACCTGCCCAAATTATCATTACAGATGCAATGAACTACATACCTGTGTGTGTAAACTTTATAATTTTTTATAATTCCCACATTTAAAATCCATAATCGTACTAATGAAGAAGACCCAGAGTTCACTAAAGTGGGATTTGTGGAGGAAGCTCACAGATAAAAGTGTTCATTTGTTTATTCGTTAATTTGCTAAATAAATGTGTCGTTCATGTCTTGTTTTACTTGAATTTTTTCATTCAAATTTATTAGTGAAAGGCTCAATAATTACATCACACAACCTAAATGAACAGATGTGTGATACTAATTAGGGTTTTTTTTGTTTGTCTTCTGGCAGCTTTCGTTTCATTTTATTTTATTATTTTATTATTTGATGGCGTTTCATTCTGCACTGATGGAATTATGTTTGTCCACACGTCTAATTAATGTTAGTGTCAGGAAAGTTTCTTCACTGTGTTCATTGTGTGAACAACTCGGTATGAAAATGTAATAAAGTTGGCTTTTAGATGCGAGTCAGTCTGATGTGAAGTTGAAGTTGAACATCTGTCAGAGAAATCAAACACGTGAAGCTTGTTTATTTGAAATATATTCTTTGGCTTTTCTTTTAGCCCATGTTTCCTTTTCTTCTGTTTTTAAACCATTTTTCCCCCTCTTTTTTCTCAGGGATTATTTCAGTGTCGTACGATGAATGGGACTACAACATCGAGGCCAGGGTGCGCGACGCAGTGGCTGTTATAGCCACAGCTACCTCTACAATGATACTGGACCGAGGGCCACACACGCTGATGAAGTCCAGCTGCCTCGGCACGCCGGACAAGAAGGGCTCCAACACCGGCCACTCCAAGGAAATCCTCAAGTGAGTCAACCCTGGAGCGTGCGTGGTTAATGGAAAAAAGTAGAGTGAGAGTTCATCGTCAGCTGAAGAAGTCAGCATATTAAATTACATGTATGAGCAAAAGCCCCGCCCCCAAAAAACATAGACATAAATGATGTAGAGCAGGCTGTGAAGGTTTGAACCTTTTACAGCCGAGAGCTCTGTGGTCTGGTTTTATCCATCCATCCATACATCCATCCATCCATCCATCCATCCATCCAGCGTTGTCTTAAACGGTAGTCGCTGATTCAGTGTTTTGTTTTAATCACACAGTTCACAGTTTTTGCCAAAAACGAGATGCGACTGCAGTTGTTGGTGACGCTGAGAAATCAGGTATCAACAAGTTCTAGGTATTATTTCTGGAGCTGATGTGAAGAGGGAAAAATAATTAATTTTTATTGTTCACTTTTCCAGCACAGTTCATTTCCCGCCAGCGTTCAGGTTTTTGATGAAATATTCTTTCAAGGATTACCAGTCGCAGGAAGATGATTTTATCTGTTTAACATGTCAACAAACCATTTTCACCTCATTTGGAAATGGATTTTGGTGCAAATGTGTGTAACAGTCAAACTGGCTGAACAAAA